ACACACATTTTTATGAGCCGGATTTGATACCATCTCTTTCCACTTGGGGATGAACAGAAAGTCTCCAGCTGACTGGGGAAATGATGGGCACTCCACCCATTTATACAGTGGGGGGGGGGGAGGGCACAGAGTTTCTGCCAACACCATTAAAGCTATTAAATCTTCCCAGTGTTACCGGACTGTGCCAGTCAACAGCTGGGGCAAACCCCGTGTGAACCAAAGACCCGAAGCCAAACAGAGTCTGAGACGAGACTTGGAGCCAAAACCAGTTTTATTCTAGTGCACTATAGAATAAAGGGAGACAAAAGGAGGCATTCAGCCCAAAGCAGTGTCACAAAAGTTGCAACCCAATACATGCGTTTTATACCCTAGGTAACCAATTAGGTCACCTAATGCACATCTAATACATCGATACATCAATGTATGCACCCCCTCCCGTGCAGGAGAAAGAGTCCTTTCTTCTGTCAAGGACCAGACATTTCCCATGTCTATTTCTTATCCGCTCGAGATCCACACAGGCTTGCCATGTTGTTACTCCCTGCACATTTGCAACTTTCATGGCGGCTAGAACCGGTTTCCACTGTCCCTTTGATTACTGTATTCGAGGTCAGGCTAGCGTGTTAGCTGTGGGTTACAAATAGTTCATTTTGTTCTTATCCCTCCTCCCTTCTGGGACAGTATAACTGTGGTGTTTTTACTATGTGGCCTTCCTCTGGCCAACTATTTCTGGGGCCTTTCTCTGGCCAATTACTTTTGGGGTGTTTTGGGGTACTGCAATTGGTAACAGTCGTGTGAAAGGAAAGGCCATTCCTGTGGAGCATGGATCAAATTGGGGCAGTGGGAAGGCTGGGGAGCAGTAACCTCTATGACACCCTGTGAGGAGGCAGAGGGGCTCACCCATTTTCCTGGGACCTTCAATGGAGCAGGGCATGACTAGGAATCTCTTTGGGGAGAGCAACTCACGAGACGGCAATGGCCAGGAGACACAGGCGAGTGCACAGCTGTGCAGGATTGCCGGCCGGGGAAGGAACAGCTGGGTTGGTTGGAGTGGTGCATGAGAAGAGGGTATAAGAGAGAGGAGAGGAAGGGAAGTGGGAGGAGGAGAAAGAGGCAGACAGAGATGGAAGAGAGGGGCAAAAGCAGAGACGTGCGTATTGTTTGGGAAGAGCTGGCTCAGCCATCGCTTGCAGGCAGGCCGGCGCAAATGGAGAGGAGAGACCTGGTGGTGTTACTGCAGGGGTGACACTGCACTATGTTCGTTGCCATAGAGACAGGAGGGGAGAGAGCCAGAGCAGGCAAGGGCCTAGGCACTTCGGGAAGCAAACTGGTGAAATGTGCAACTGGAGAATAAAGGCCCGGTGAGTGCACTGACTTCCTTGTGTCTCTTCTCATGGAAAAACAAGAACAAGGTGTCTTTAGTTTGTCCCTCCCTCCTGATACAGTCACACACACATAAGCAGGTTGTGGCCTCTCACTGTTTCCTGTGGCTGTGGGTCTGCTGGTATCAATCAATGCATTTCTATGACAACTAAAGACATCTAGATATTGCACCCATGCAAAGGCAGAGGCCATTCCTATGGAGCATGCATCAGACAGTGACCCTTGGGGTGTTTGAATGTTCAGACTTTATCATCTGTGAGCAATTTGAGGGCTGCAGCTTTTCTGGTGTAGATTTGCTTGTCTCAGTTCAAGTAATTCTATGGCCATTTGAAATGACAGCAATAATATTGTTGCCGTGCAGAACAAGGGGACATACATGGAGCACACATGAAATAATGCCCCCTGGCATGTTGTAGGCTGCTAACTTGAGCACCTGTGAGCTGTTTGGGGCTTCTGCAGTGTCCTGTTGGGGTCTGCTGTATCATTCCAGTGTTGTCCTATGACCACTGAGAATGATAACTGAATTTATGGCCATGTGGAATGGGGGGCAATTCCTATAGAGCATGCTGTAAATAGTGACCCTTGGGATGTTGTGGTGTACCGTCTGTGGCACCTTTGAGCACTTTGAGGATCCCTGCTCTTTGCTGCAGGGCTGCTAGTATCATCACCATGCCTTCTTGTGGCCTTTTGAAAATGCAGGCTACTTTTAAGGGGAGGTTGTGTCTGTGTGTTGGAGGTGGGGCGGGGGGAAGAATCTAGAAGTATGGAAGCTTAGGAAGATTACACACACACACATCTAGGCCTTTTCACTCTGGTGTGTATACTTTGTTATGTTATCACCTTTTGTTTATTGCATTCCAATTTAACTGTATATTTGGACATGATTCTAAGAAAATGCCATGTTGGGAATCATACAGGTTTTTCTGTAAAACCACTCTATTACTAAGGATTTGGATTAGGAGTTGTTTTGTATGAAGAATAAATCTGTCTCTTTCAGGTATTGATTTGAAATTGCTCCTTAATTTTTCGAATGCATTCTGAATGTACCAGTGCATTTCTATGGCTATGTGGTGTCAGTCCTTCCAAAGTGCAACACAAAGACAAGGGAGGGGGTGTTTGCCAAATGGGAGAAACCATTTGCTATGGAAACCATAGTACATTGGTGTACCCATACAGATATCACAAATGAGATGGCAAGATACAGGGGAGAATCAGGTACAGTGATTAACACAGGGGTCCTCCAACTTTTTCAACAGGGGGCAGTTGAAAGGTGCTGGTGGTGGGCATGGGCTGGCAAGGTGGTGCCAGTGGCATGTGCAGGCCAGCGTGGGGGCAGAGGAGGGGTGGGTGGGCACACGCATGCACAGGGAGGTGAGGCGAGGCAGGGGCAGGCATGCGCAGGGCAAGGTGGGCAGCGGTGGCAGGCATGGATGCAACCATGGCAAGTCCAAAACCTCTGAGGTGGGCCGGATAAATGGGCATGGCAGGCCAGATCTGGCCCACGGGCCGTAGTTTGAGGACCCATGGATTAAAACAATCAGTGTCTGTGTATTGAAGTCAGCTAAATATATATATAGGCCTGCAAAACTTGGGTGCACACCTGCACAGCTCCTGACCCAAGCCAGGCACAGTCATCAAGTAGTTTGGAAACCTTCCTGGTTTTGCTGCTTGCCTTAAACTGCAGAACCAGGCAAGGATATTCACATGTAGGGCAAGTCACAATGTACAATTGGTGGGCCTCATGTAGCACAGTGGATCGCCAATTATGCTGGCCTGATTTAATCTGTCACACTTTCTCATGATAGATAGATACACTTTATTTCAGTCAAAGACCAGCTCTGTTCAATAAATACATAGATTAAAAAAGTAAATACATAAAACATCTATATTAAAACCCCACTTGGATTAACAAATGCTTCAATACAATATCAGTCATCTTAAATTGGTGACAATCCCAGACTTTGTCCTTGTCCGACTAGGTAGAGCCACAGGATCTGTCTTCAGACACCCATCGTGGCCGCGAAGAATTTAGCGACACCTTAGGTTATTGTTGGGTTAGTGTCAGCCAGCAATATATAAATATACTGTTGTTCCATATGGCCTGGGAAGAGATTCATCAGTGGGGAAATGAGTGCAGTGCAAATATCCCTGTAGAATGTGCACCTCAACAGGACATGCTCTGTGATTTCTGTCTGTTCCATACCACAGGGGCAAAGGCTCTCTGACAAGGGGATCTTTTTGTACCATCCCTCCAAAACTGCTGAGGGGAGTCCATTAAGGCAGGCAACAGAAAAAGCCCTTCCGTGTTTATGGAGCTCCAACTGTTTGAGATAGGGTGCAGCTATTACAAATATGTCTTTAGTCCTGAAAATAGAATTCAGGGGCTCTATTGAGATTGTTTTGTCTTTCAATATCTGGAATATGCTGCTTGATGATTTCTGTTGCTCGTTCAAAACCCATATTTAGTACAGTCCGCAGGGGGAGGCACAAGAGGGCTATTTTCTGCTCGATTGATTTAATCCAGTTGGTTTTGAAGTCGTCTTGCAGGATTAGTGGTACAAGACCAACTGGAAAGTATACCAATCTGAACGAGTGTGCAAGAAGGGCGCCCCAGATCCTAGCTTCAATTTGGATCTGACCAGTCTCCAATCTTACCTTTGCATTGGAGACATCCCTAGGAACACCCAGTATTGCCCTCAGAAATTTTGATTGGACACGCTGTAGTACTTGGGTGTTCGGAAAAGACCCCAACTGAGATCCCTGCAGTAGTTGAGATAGCACTTTTGCTTGGTATAGTTGGAGGGCAAGGGGGATGTAATGGCCACCTTTAGATCTCATGAATTGTATTATGGCTGACGATCTTCTTCGGGCGTTTAATGCTACGTATTTGCCATGGGCCTTCCTGAAGCCATTTGCTTGTAGGACTACACCTAAATATTTGAACTGGGAAAACTGCTTGGTCTTGTGCTGATTTATCTTCCATGATTGAGTTTTTGGTCTTTTTGCAAAGGTCATGGTTTTTGTTTTTTGATCATTTATCTTCTTCCTTGCAATATTCATTCAGCTTCTGCAGTGCTCTTGTGAACCCAATTGGAGTCCTTGAAATAATAGCTGCATCATCTGCATATAGTAGTATAGTTCTATGCCTCCCTGCGATTTTAGGGGGGGCGGTGAAAATCGATGTGATTTAACTGGTCAACCAATGAGTTGATATAGAAATTGAACAGGAGTGGAGCAAGAATACAGCCTTGCTTAACCCTTTTTTGGTGTTGGAACAGCACTTTCTCATGGTCTCACTGAAGGCAATGATGATTCTGCCTGCTTTTTGCATTATTTTCAACTTTTCCAAATCTGTTCATTTCACATATGTGGTGAAATATTGCCAACCTTCTTCTTTCTCACCTGTATTTCTTTTGCTGTAAGCACTGCTTGGCTTTCTGTTTACCTTGGGACATGACTACCCACAGGACATTCATCTATGCATATTTTTTGCCCCTTTTTAATAAATAACGAAAAACTTGGAGCTTGCTTCAGCAACCTCAGCCAGCTGTGTTATAAATTATATATATGTGCCTTTTTGCTTCCCTTCCATCCCCACCCACCTGTTTTCATACAAACAGAGGCTGTGTTGGTGCAGAGAATGCCGAAGACCTGGACAACCCTGACACAGACATAATTATCCATGGCAGAGTTCGACTCACAAAGCCACGTTATGTGAAATCATCCTAGTATGTAAACCTCTATTTCCTTCCTTACATTATTATTGCTGATGTTTCTGCCAAAGGGAACCCGTGTTTGTGTTTTTGCAACAACAACAACAGGAACCTGATCTGCATCTTGTCATGCTGCTAGGTAGACCTTGAGGTTACTCAGAGCCAGACCATGCTGAACCAAACCCAAGTGACCCAGGTCCAGATCACTTCTCAAGCAGATGATTGCTACATTTGCATCATTTCAATTACAAAGCCCTTGAATCTTCACATTCCCATCATATGCAGATGCATGGAGGGTGGGGGGCAGCTTGGGACCATGAGCTGCATGCTTGTATGATAAAGGAAGTTAAACAGCCTAAGGAGATTCTTGCTGTTTAATGCAGGAGTGCAGAACCTCAAGTATGCAGGTCAAATCCAGCCCTCTGAGGGTCCCAGCCCTGGCTTCTAGGGTTCCCCTAGCCTGCCCCCTTTCTCCTTACCACCAATCATTGGATTGTTTCCTGGCTTGGGTGCAGATTTTTCTTCATTCTAAAAGGAATTAAATGCCTTTTCTAAAATTTTGCTACTGATACTGACAGCTTTTGGGTAAAATATTGTGGCATTTATTATATGTTGTCCCTGCCAGTTATGTCTTTGACTCTGTTAACCACTGGAATGTGACTGAAAAAAATCAATATGACTTCCACAAGGGAAGTCCTTTCTCACTAACCTATAGGAATTCATTGAGAATGTTAATAAGCACTTAGACAGGGGCAATTCAGTAGACATTGTTTATTTGGACTTCCAAAAGGCTTTTGACGAAATCTCTCAGCAATGGCTCCTGAGCAAACTAAGCAGTCATGGAATAAAGGGGGATGTCCTCTTATGGATCACTAACTAATTAAAGAACAGAAGAAAGGGTGGGAATAAGAATGGGATCTTGAAGAGAGGTGGGGTTCGAAGAAAATGTCCTCCCAGTGCACAGTTGCTATAGGAATGGAATAAAAAATAGAACTAATGAAAGAGGGATATATGGATGATATAGCACACATAAAGTGTGCTTGCACATGCACAATCTTACAGAAAATGACAGGTATCTGAAGATTGAAAGTTGTCCACCTAGCTGATAAAAAGGATCCAGTCCATAAGGTGTTCTTTTCAAATTAGGATTCTTTGCATACTGAGCTTGCTGAGTAGAGCTGTCATAGTTTCACCAGTTCTTTACTGGGGCAGACTTTATTTTGCATCAATCTACACTGCTGAACTGGAGATGCTAACTGACCAAGATCTCTTTGTAGCAAAATATGGCACAGCCACAGAGGAGAGACAGAGGGCAGATTTTGAAGATTACTCATTTTCATCTTTGCCATATTTATTGGATCTGTTCAGACAATCAAATAAGCCACGGTGGCTTGTTTAATTCAGCAGCACATGCCAGCATGTGCTAGGCACGGCTAACCACCAAGGTACAGCTTAATCATGTCATCTGAACCTGAGTGGCATGCCTTATTTGAGCAGGAATCAAATACTCCATGACCTGTTCTTGGATTAGTTTAGGGTTCCCCCCCCCCTCAAACCAGTTGGATTCAGAAGCCCCAACAAGCCATCCCCAGACAGGTAATTAGGCAAATGGTGGCCAGCATGCACCATGATTTAAACAAGGCCAAGTCACTAGTTTTGATCCTGTAAACTAGGTCATTGTGGCAGAATTAATGTTGACCCAAAGTAGTAGCTTTTCTCAAACTCTTTCACCAAGACCCAGCAAAAGCATACCATGTTGAGTTATTTTTATTGTTATTTATGTGTTTTAGTTATATCCCACCTTTTTTCCCTTTCAAGGAACTCAAGGTGACTTACATAATTCTTCTCCTCTTCTTAATCTTGTCCTCATAATAAAGGCCCTGTGAGGTAGGTTGGGCTGAGAGTCTGTGACTGGGCCAAAGTCACTCAGTGAGCTCCATGGCTGAGTGGGGACTAGAATTCTGATTGCCTGAGTCCCAGGCCTACACTCTTAACCACTACACCATACTGGCTCGCTAGCTATTTGTTAACCCTTTCTGCAAAAGTGCAATTGTGTTCACAATGGTGCACACAGTAGACAATTAATTTGGACCATATCGTTCCAACCATAGTGGCTATTATTTGAATGCCTTTGGTCAGCATTCCCCAACTTGCTGGCCTTCAGAGGCTTTTGGACCGCAATTCCCATCTAGCAGAGCCATTGCCTGGGTGCTGGCATCCAAACGTGTCTGGAAGGCACAAGGCTAGGGAAGGCTGGCTTAGGAAGACTTGCAGGTGTAAAGTACCAGCTACTGAGAACTTCATATATAATTTCTTTTATTATTAGTGCAGATTGATAAATTTGCAAAAGAAGTCCAAATACACTGCAAGTCTTCTACCAAAGCTGCACCTAAGTCACTCTCCCTTGTCTGTACATAGGAAGAGCTGTTTTCCAAAATGGCATTTGGCTGATACTGTAAGCAGACCTTTAGTGGAAGCAGACCTTCCAAGGAAGTTGTGTGGGTGCTTGGCTGCCTGCTTGATGTGCATCTGGCTAACAAAAGGGATGTAGTTACATGTGCCAATGTAAAGGCAGTGCAATTCTATTCCCTTTCCCCTAGTCATTTCCTCTGAGATTTCTGCATAGAAGACAGGATCTCCTTTATCCAAAAAAGATCAAATTATATGAATGGCATCTGGTTGCCTACTGATGTGACAGATAATTTGATCTTTGGGACTGCAGCTCCCATAATCCCACATTATCTGCTGTGCTGACTGGGCTTGATGGGAGTTCTAACCCAAAACATCTAGAAAGCTCCAGATAGTTTATTCTCATCTATAAAGGTTCACTGCCATCCTAGTGTGAAAGTCTTTGGGATTTCTGTGTGCAGCACTGAAAAGTTTTAAAAATAAGGATTTGTAATACACACCCTCTGCAGCATTACCCATCCAGGAAAAGGCATAGGATTATGTTTAAAGAATATTTTTCCCACTAAGCAAATCACCTCTCTATTAAGGTGTATATATGACATTTGCCACTAGATGTCCTCTGAACATCAAGCTTTACACTTCTGCAAAAATGTTGTTTGTGCAGGCAAGGACAGCAACTCTGCAGGGCTTTTCTAAATGATCATTGTTTTATGAACTGGTGTGCTGCAGAATGTCAACAATAGGATTTGCTTTTAGGTATAAAAAAAGAGGATGTATTATTTTATTGTAAGCTTTTACAAGCTGATGTCAAATAGACCTTTCCTTGATTGTTTAAAAATAACCAATATTGAATTGTGGGTGAATGCTGGAGTTCCTTGGAAGTATGTTAGGAATTTCTTAATGGTTATGTCAGTAAAGGCTGACAAGCTTCCCTTAATGACAGCATGCCATCAGGGTGTGTTTGTTTGTTTTATTTTTAGGGAAAAATCTACTTTTTAACTTTGCAATCTTTTAAGGTGCAGCTTTACTTCATTGGGGGATCATGAAGCCTAGTCAAGTGTGTTATATGGACTGACTAAGTGTCCTGGAACTGCTTATGTCATGTGGGCAAACCTCAGTCTTTGTGGAAGTACATGAATTTTATTGGAACCACTTAGGCCATCACCTAGATGGAAGCTACAAAATACATAACAATTTATGTGGTGTAGGAACTAGATTAATTGACTGACAGGTCATTGGTAAGACATGGAGCTGACTGTCTATGAGCTGGGAAAGAATTCCAGAGTGAGGGTGCTTGTGTGGCGAGCACCATCTGTCAGGTTGCCATGAATCAAACAAATGCAACACCATCAAGAGGGCACTCCTGCTAATATCTGGGCAGGCACACAAGAGAGAAGGCTTATTGATAATGTATTGTCAGAGCAAATAATTCAGAATTGGTGTAGGATGTTTCTGGTAAGTGGTGGCACCAGCATTTTGGACTCCTGGGCCTAACTCACAGGTAACCATACCCAGAACTTTTCTAGATGAAGTTTTTATTACATGCCAGTCATTCCTCACTCATGATTGTTTACAGGTGCTTCAGACAATGATGTCACCATCTAGTTTTTCCTCCAGTTATTAAAATTAAAATTAATTTTACAGGCAAGTTGGGAGCAGGAAAAACCCAAGTTTTGTCTTTTAATGAAACAAAGTGCTAGTTCCAACTAATGTAGTTACATTATCCTGCTATAGCACAGTGTTACCTTGAGGTTATATAGCAGAAAGTGAGGAGAGGCAAGGAAGGAAAATAATTCACATGGAATTCCAATATTAATTCTACTACAAATCCAGAAGTAGAAGCAGCACATTCAGCAACCTCATCTAGAAAAATCCATAAAATTTATTGTCATACTGCAGTCTAGAGATGACCAGTGCAGGCCTCACTGTGACCAGGAAGAGCTGCTGCTGGAATATGAGCCAAAGTTGGAAAAGGATACTCTTTGCTAAAGAGGCTAGTTGTGCTCCATAGACAGTCATGGCCTGAGAACATCCCATAGCTATGTATCAGTTCCTTCAGTGGGAAGGCAATCCCATCCTGAACTTGCAGCTTCCCTAATTCCCAGCCATGGGAGCTGTCTATCCATGGTGCCTCCACCTTCTCAGGTCTCAGCCTTAACTGCTAAGACCTACATATACAAGTAAAAATCTACATCTGAGTTGCTACAAACCAGGTATGCTATCTACCTAATTCAAAAAGTAAGAAAATTCTTTCAGTTGCTGCTGCTGTCAAATCATTGATACTCAGGAATTCTTGCTGAGCTACCACAAATAATCAAGTGATCTACCAGTAAATCATTATCCACTTTCTTCCCACCCATTGTCTAGGACAGCCTTCTCCAACACGACGCCTTCATGATGTTTTAGATTTCAATTTCCATCAGGCCAAGCCAGCCTGGTCAACAATTAGAAACACCAGAACTTTTTGTATTAAACATTTGGAAGGCACCAGGTCGGGGAAGGCTGCTCTGGCATGTGCAGATGTTCTTGAGATTCCGCAACAGATAATGTTGAAGGAGGCGTTCAAGGCAGAAAAGTCAACTCTCAATGCAGTGTTATAATTTGTT